AAAAAAAAGAAATAATAACTATTTTTTATTTATATATGCATATTATTAGTGGATGTTCTGGAGATTATTTAAAAATCTCCAGAAGTCTACGAATTCTAATATACTTTCTTTCATAACCCTGGCTGTTATTCTGGAATGTTGTGTTTTACAAAAAAGGACAGGATTCTGTGTCAATTACACTGTAATCAGATCTATAACCTGTCATTTTAGGTTTCTTTTTTTGTCATTTACAGACAGTCATTGTTTTATTTTGATGCATTTGCAAAGATGTTACATCTTCTGAAGGACCCATGGAAAGGACTCTGACTTATTTTAAATTACATATCACTGAGAATAAATTTTCAGGTAATCCCTTTGAACTGGATGGAAATTACTGTAACTCTGTGGGACATCTGAATTTATGAAAGTACTGACAAAACAAAAAAATAAAAGGAATCAGGAGAAACAGAATTTGGTTATGGACTGAATGAATTGAAAATAGTTTTTGTAATTTTTTAAAGAATTGCTGATCTTCTATCTCTCTGTTTTCCAGATATAAGGAAACTTGTTTCTTTTCTTAAAGCAGTTTAGTAAATTATACTTTCATACGAAATATCGAGGCTTTTATAGTTTCCTCCCTACCTGCTCTCTCTGGAATTTAGAAGCTCTTAGTGAGTGAGTATGATTACTTTCGTGGCAATATGGTTATTTGTATGAATCCAGTAGGAATTTGATTTCTTCATAACAGGACACAAAAAGCCAGTTTCCAATTGTGGTTTTATTAACCAAGGCTTTGACTGGAATGTCATGTCTGAGAGAGACATGCCAGGACTCTGGATGTCACCAGAAAGCTGTAAGGAATGAAGATCGACTTTGAAGCTGAAAAAGCCTGTTGGAGACATGGCCTGGTACTTTGCTTGGCCACGTGGTTCATGGCAACCTTCCAGGTAAGATACAAAGGTTACTCTCCTGAAAGATGGCAAAAAAGGAACCTCAGCGTCTTTGGGAACTTCAAGGACTTGAGGACACGGCCCAAATCTGCAGGTGTTCCAGGCACTGTCTGATGGCATCTGTGGCTTTGGACTCTCTGCCCTGAAGGGCTGACTGTCGACTGCTCACTAGAGCACTATCTAAAGATTCCTTATGAGTAAGTGACATTCCAGCAAGGTAAAATTGGAGGAAGCCTGTGCAATCAATTTGATCTACTGATAATATTTTGTTTATGCATACAACCAAGCCAGACTAGAACTAGATGTATTATGGTCTCTTAAATAGGAGGGTACTTATAGGGAGAGAAAAATGATGTCTCAATGAAAACCACAATACTGCCCTGGCTGGTTTGGCTCAGAGGTTGGAGCATCGGCCTGCAGACTAGTGAGTCCCGGGTTTGGTTCCTGCTAGGGGCACGTACCAAAAAAAAAAAAAAAGAAAGAAAGAAAGAAAACCACAATACCCAGTCATGGGTATTGAAGTCCAGTGCAGTTAACGGTCTTCAAAGTTTTGTTTTCAAGGTTATGACTGTATTGCTATACATGCCTCAGCACCTGATGACATCACCAGAGACGTTCTAATGGCAGACAATCTGTCAGATTGCCACTGTATAATTTCATTCTAGTGGAAGCCTTACGTCTTGAAATCTTCTCAACTTGTTTATGATTTAATTATGATTAATTAACCTTTATGTTTTGTTTCTTCTGTTTCATAGAATATCTGCCTATGTCCCTGTTTACCTAATTTTTTACTCACACAATATAGGCCTTATTATAGAATTCAACGGCATCACCATCTCCTGACATATGAGACTCAACGGTTTGGATTAAGATTGAGTCAGTGGAACATGGACAATCTATATGCTCACTTAACAACTGCTTTCTCCTTTTGGCTCCCCCTTCTTTTGTCAGGCAGGGAGAATCTCAGGAAGCAGTTACAGAAGAACCCGCCACCCCTTTTCCTCGAAATGATTCAGAGCCAAAATTCATAAGGGGAAAATACAATCGGCCAGAAATAATACAGTTCAACAACAAGACACTGTCCATTTAAAACTAATCTCATAGATGTGAGATGATAAAATCAACAAGAAGGCCCTGGCCGGTTTGGCTCAGCGGTTGGAGCTTCGGCCTGCGGTCCAGAGAGGCCGGGGTTTGGTTCCCCCTGAGGGCGTGTACCTCGGTTGCAGTTTGTCCCCTGCCCCGGTTGGGGTCGTGTGGGAGGCAGTCACCTCAATGTGTCCCTTTCACGTCGATGTTTCTCTCTCTCTCTTCCTCCCACTCTACCTGAACAAAAATGGAAAGGTGTCCTCGGGGGAGGATAAAAATAAATAAATAAATAAATAAATAAATAAATAAATAAATAAATAAATAAATAAAATAAAATAAAATCAACAAGAAGGAATGAAAAGGGGGTAGGATAGAATAATAGACTAACAGAGAACTAATCATTGTGGGGTGCTAGCTATAGTTAGAAGAAACGTTAATAATCCTTTACAATATTAATTGTGATTTCTTTGTTCTGATGAAAGAAAAGCCCATTCTGACCTGGCTGGGAGGTGTGGGCCTTGGGAGGTTACCTCAGGAACGCTGTCCATTCTCCTGATCTGAGAACAAGGGGACTACTTGACACCACGGAAAGATTAACAACCTGATTTTCCGAACACTGGCCTTGTGATGGCGACTCGCTGGCAAGCAGCTGCTGCAACCCCCAGACCACATTCCTCCCCCTTTGCCTATAACCATTTTACCCATTTTTTTCCCCTTTTTGCCTAATTGCCTTTTCTCATGTAGTCATTGTTCCTCTACCCTTTAAAAGGCTGGCAAGTGAGAGGGAGCAGAACAGGTTTAATGGGACAACCCACTGCTGGCAACATGGGAATAAATGCTCATATAGGATTCAAACTTGTCTCTGCTGAATTGGTTCGAGTAGTGACAGGCAGCCGGGACCCCTTCATTGTTCGGTTTCTTTTTTTTTTTTTTATCCTCACCCGAGGACATTTTTCCATTTTTTGTACAGATAGAGTGGGAGGGAGAGAGAGGAAGAGAGAGAGAGAGAGAAACATCGATGTGAAGGGACACACCAAGTGGCTGCCACCCGCACGACCAACCAGGGCCGGGGACAAACTGCAACCGAGGTACGCGCCCTTAGCGGGAACCGAACCCGGGTCTCTCCGGACCGCAGGCCGACGCTCTAACTGCTGAGCCAAATTGGCCAGGGCCGTTGTTCGATTTCAGTACTAGAGGGAGAAATTTAAAAATGGTGATTTCCTTTAGAAATGTAAATTCCCCTTACTTCTACCTGGTTTTCAGAGCTTCTCCCGTGCTGGCCCTTTCTCCAAAAACAACCGGCTCAAGATAAGCTCTATGCCAAAGAGGCAGACTTTGGGGTGTCACAGTCTACTCTCCTTCACTTCCTGCCAATAGGGCACGTGAGGGATTAAAATGTCGGCAGTCATGTTTACGCCCTGAGTTGTGGTTACTTCAATTCCCCTGTTAAGGACTTATCATGGTGTCAGGCAGATTGAATGTGCTCCATAAGATGGCATTGATTATCATTAGTACTGGGAATCCAGATTATACATACCAAAGGTTCTAGAAACTTCCGGAATGCCCTTTGTGTCTGTTTCCCAAGATGATCATCAATAAACCTTGGAGAGTCCGGGGCTTTCTTTGGAGGTGGCCTGGTCACACTCCTAGGTGGCTGGAGGAAACCAGGGCCAGCGGGGCTGGGAGGGCAGAGCCAGCCTGGAGCTGCTGGGGCTGCGGCTGGGCAGCGTGGGCAGGCTGGCTCCGGCTTAGAGCGGGCAGTGCCTGGCAATTCTGCTCTCGGTCACCAGCCTCTTCTTTCGTGGAGCCTCCTTCTTGCTAAGGGGACAGAGGAGCTGGGGGACAGTGATGGGCAGGCCTTGGGATCATGTTGCATGTTCCCAGCCTGATATTTCTTTCTTTTTTTTTTTTTATCCTCACCCGAGGACATTTTTCCATTTATTTGTTCAGATAGAGTGAGAGGGAGAGAGAAGAAGGGAGAGAGAGAAACATCGACGTGAAAGGGACACATCGAGTGGCTGCCACCTGCACGACCCAACCAGGGCTGGGGACAAACTGCAACCGAGGTACATGCCCTTAGCGGGAACCAAACCCGGGTCTCTCGGGACTGCAGGCCGACGCTCTAACTGCTGAGCCAAACCGGCCAGGGCCCAGCCTGATATTTCTGGGACTTGGATCCCTATCTGCCTCCCATGCTCCCAATGGGAGTCAGGGGTGTGGACATGTATCTAGGGTCCCCATCTGACTTTGTTTCTTCCCCTCTCTGGAAGCTGTGTGGGCTCCCCAGTGCCTGCAGAAGCACCCTAAGTCCGAGAGCCTTTCTCCCCAGGACACCCAGCCCAGCCTCTCCCACCTCCAACACTGTCCCCAGCTGGCTGTCTCTGCTGGTGCCCCACTGTTCTGTGCTTCTGGGCTGTCACATGTGTCCCCAGCCTGGCCCGTCCCTCCATCCTCTTCCACCACAAGGCAGATGCTCACTGTTCCTTCAGGAGGTAGGTGCACTGCCGGGGTGAAGCCCGCTCCTCACCCTGTGCCGGGGGTTTTGCTACACTGGCCCCTTGTGCGCTCCTGCCTTTCTTCCCTCCCTTCTGTTGTGCTGAGCTGGTGCCCATCCCTCTCTGCCAACCTAGGCCTGGGCCCCTGTCTGAAATGTGGTCAGGAGCAGGGGCCCCTCCGGCCCTGAGCAAAGGCTGAGGAAGTTCCCATCTGCGGGACCATGGGACAGCCCAGAGGCGAGGGTACACTTACAGGGCCCCTGCCGCTTGCCCTCTCTTCTCAGTATTCCGTCTGAACACCCTCCTGCAACCCAGACCAGCCCCCGCCCCGCCCCCCCAGCTGCTTTCCCTTTCACCCCCGGCCTCCGAGGAGCACCTTTCACTTTCAAAGGCACCGCCCCGCCCTCAGCCTATTCCTCCCTCAGGTTGCAGCTGAGCACAAAGCGGCCGCTGGATCCTGACCTGGGCCTGAGTCCGCGCCCTCACGTCCAGTGCCCTGGCTGTCCCTCCACTGCTCGGCCGGGAAGAGAGGCCCCATGCCCCGCTCGGCTTCTGTAGCCCTGGCAGGGCCTGGCTCAGAGGGTGAGTGATGGACAAACAGGGCGTGTGCAGCCACCAGGTCCCGCCTCCCTAGGGCCTGTTTGGCTTAACTCTCTGATCTTGAAATTATTACCCCCCACCCCCGCACTCTGTCCCTCTCATTTTCTCCCAGGAGACAAAAGGAAGGATCATCAGTGGCAAATGGCAGTTCCCGAAGCAACAGCAAGAGCCGGCTTCATGACCGCGCAGGAGAGAACGCTGTGTCTCCGCGTGGTGTCGGGAGCTCTAATGATCAGAAACACTGCTCTAGTAACGAACTGTGGCAATGATCCCTGAAAGTACAGTCTTGATCTTGAAATTCTTAACTTTTTAACTCCAGGGGCCTTCCATTTCATGTTGCAGTGGGCCCTGCAAATTACACCGCCAGGTGCCGAGAGGGGCGGGGGTCAGTGCTGAGGAGGAATAGCCCCAGAAATGTTCCCTTTTCTTCTCCGAGGGCTTAGACCCAGGCAGCGGGGTCACGTCCACTTCGTCTTGCACCCCCTTCTATACCCTTAAGATGTTGTGTTATGTTAGGGTCCAGACATTCCTGCCAGTCACCTGGAGGAGAGCCATGCACGACTCTTGGGCACCTGGCGCCCTCTGCGATGCACAGGCAGGGCAACGCTGGCTCAGTGAGCCCCCTCCTGGGGTGCCTGCCCTTCCCATCCCGGAAGTAAGCAGGGAGGCCAAGTTTCCCCGAACCATGCCGCCCCTCCCCCGCCAGCCAGTTTCAGGGCTTCTTGTCAACCTTATCCATGTGTCCAGGTTGACTGTCAGGGAGCCCCCAGCCCCTGCACGCCCCCCGGGGGAATGCAGTTAGCTCGCGCCCCGCAGTCCAGGGACCACCTTTGACTCGGGCCCTGCAGCCCCTGCTTGCTTCCTGGCACTCACCTCTCTCTAAGGCCCTTCAAGGGTTCTTGTGTACCCACCAGCCAAGAACAAGGAACAAGCCGGTCTTCAGAATCTCTGGCAACCTTGGCCCCAGACCGGCCGTCGGATGGAAATGGGAACAGGAAGTTTCACACCAGAGAAAAACCAGTCCTCTTTTATTGAGAAAATAGTCAATTCCTCCATCTTTCCCCAGGTGACTTTACCCTAAGATATGAGGTGGCATTCTTCCATACCCACCCCTCAGGGCCCCTGAACCTGGGAGGGGCGCCCACAAGGGGCAAATGCTGGTCTGCTCAGGCCCTGGAGCAGCAGGGTTCTGGAGGGGGCTCTGCGGGCACGGGGCGGGGAGGGGGTGCCCTGGGGGGGGTCAGAGTGGTCCAGGGAGGAGGTGTCTTGCTGGAATGAGGGAAGGGAAGGGAGGAACACCGCCATCTCCTGAGGCCTGGCGCCTTCTCCCTTCAAATTCTTCATAAATAAAACTTCACAGTAATAGAGGTATGTCCACTTCGAGGGCCAGGCTGGCTGGTTTCTGGCCAGGGAGCCAGGCCGCAGTGGGGCCGCAGACGGGCCCTTGGCTGGGGCTGGTCGGGCAGCACTGTGACTTCGAGGGCAGAGCGCTGCTCTTGGGCCCTGCACCAGGGGTGGGGTGGGTGGGTGGGGTGGGGGTGCTGTCCATCCAGAGGTTCTGCGGGTCGCTGAGGTAGTCAGAGCGGCAGGTTGTGCTTCCAGGGGCCGGATGGAACACCACAGGGCGCAGCCAGGACTGAAGCCACCTGGGCGCAGAGGAGGCTGACCAGCCAACTCCAGGCAGGTCTAGAGGGAGGGAGGGTGGCCGAGGGTGTTCTGAGGCTCTGTCCCCAGGAGACCCAGGGGTGTGGACTGTGGTGGTGGTGGGGGGCGGAGAGGCTGTGAGCCTGCACAGGGTTGAGCTTCTCCTGAAAGGGTTGCTTGGGCCTGTGGAGAGACTGAGGCATTTCACGGGAGGAGAATCTTCTGTGAGGAAAGAGGGCAGCCACAGAGCCGTCCAGGGCCTGGCCGAGCCCAGGTACCTGAGCAGAGGGGTCCTTCAGAGGCCGCCAGGGCCTCCCACCAGGTCAGAGGAAGTGAGGCGATGCACCCAGGTTAGGAGAGCTGCCAGCAGCCTCGCTCCCCGGATGACCTTCTCCGACCTGGGCAGGTCCAAGCGTTCCTGGGCCTCGGCTTCACTTTCTGGAGGGTGTCCACACAGGGAGGCCCCCTGCGGCTACCTGCGCCCCACCACACCCAGGAGCACAGAGGCCCAGACCCTCCACTGCCCTGCAGGGGACCGAAGGCTCCGCCTGCCAGGCACTGCAACTCCAGCTGGAGCGGGTGGCCCGCCGGGGTCAGAGCACCTGGAGCTTGCGGGAGCAGGTGAGGTTGCTGTGCACCAGCCCCCACATGGCCAGCAGCTCAGTGGGCAGCAGCTTGTGCACAACCAGCATGGAGCGGAAAAAGCATGGCTCCTTGTTCATGCGGCTGTTGCGGTTCCTCGAGATGCCGAAAGTCTTGAAGCCCTCGTGGGCCACTGGACGCACGCCCAGCACCTCCAGGCACATGCCCAGGAAGACGTCGTCGATGGGGTAAAGCTCCACGGCGTCGCAGGCGTGGTGCAGGCGCCGGGCCAGGCCGCCAGCCATCAGGAAGCCGCCTCCGCCGGCATAGGGTGGGTAGCTGGCCTTGCTGTACAGAGCCCCAGGGATGTAGTACTTGTTTTCCTTCTTTCGGATGGGCCGAGCGTGCTGCAGGACATCGCCCACAAACAGGTCTTCCTGTGGCCGCCGGTCAGCCAGAAATTCCAGCAAGTTGGTGGGGTTGACGAAGACGTCGTCATCACCCTTGAAGATGAAGCGGACGTTGGGGCAGTAGATGTCAAACCACTTGAGGAAGTGGATCTCCTTGAGGGTCAGGTTGAAGAAGCTGTCAAGAAAGTCCCACTGCAGGATGTCGCCGTAGAGGCGGTCCTCGTAGGCCAGCAGCTGCTGGTAGTGGGCGCGCTCCTCCTGCTTGGCGGCTGTGCCCAGCAGGAAGAGGGTGCGCCTGGCGCCCTGGCCCCTGCCCACCGACTCCTGCTCGAGGCCCCAGGTCTGGCGGATGGCCTCCCGGCGGTCGTGCTGTGTGATGACCGACTTGACCACCACCAGCAGGTAGACATCGCTGCTGCACTTCTCCGGGTGGTTCAGCAGCATCGGGAAGTATCGGCAATGGCGATAGAGCAGAAACTGCTGGAAGTGGGGCTCCAGGCCCTGATACCAGGACTGGTGGGTCACGTTGGTATTGGCTGAGCAGTTAGTGGTGGTCACGTCCCAGGCCTGAGGCCCCCGTGAGGCCACGGGCATGGGGGTGACCGAATGCTTTGATCTCTTCCAGAAGTCATGGGGGTTCACCAGGAGTCCACTCGGTTTCTGGGCCTTCTGTGGCCCTAGGGTGGGTGGCGGGGGCTCTTGCAGAAACTGGCGGTGGGTGAGACTGCGCTGGAATACTGCGACAGCTACCAGCAGGGCCAGGGCCAGGCACACACTCTTGTAGATGATTCTTTTCCTGGGGGTCAACAGAGGAAAAGATGAGTCCCCACGGTCCTCCCAGCAGCCTTGGTGTGGAACTGCAGTTCCGGATGGGCAATGGGTCCTGGGCATGGACTCAGTCCCAGGGCCCTGAGTGGCTGGAGGAGGATTCTGCTTCCTCTGCCACCCTGAGCTCCTTCCTGCAAGGCCAGGGAGCCACACAGCACAGAGCTTAAGCAGAGCACTGTGGTCAGGCTCCCCAGCCACTTACAAGCTAACTGACTTTGAGGGGTTCCCTTAACCTCTCCAAAGCATGATTTCTTCCCCGAAATGAGGACAGTTCAGACAGGAGTTCTATCTAAAGTGCCTGGCAGTGCAGTGGGTGTGCATCCCACGGGGACTGCCTCTGGTGGAGACCTCTGCCCTGTTCGCCCTGGAAGGCACCCCTTTTACTTTAACTTCCTGTGCAGGCCCAGTGGAACACCGGGAAGGGCAGAGACGGGACCAGCTCTGTGCCAGGCACGCTCAATACTCTGTAGGGACTTTGGGGAGCAGGCTCTAATTTGGGACCTGAAGAAGACTGTGCCTCTTCCCTCCCCCAGCCATCTGACCCAAGAGAAAATACAACAGCCAGGGCATCTCACTAGGAGAGATGTTCTACTGCCCTGGGAGTGGGGCATATGGGTCTCCACCTTCCAGGGACCCTGCTTGCCCGGGTAACCCTATCACACCCATTTCAGTGGCAGAAATGAGAGTTTCGCCAGGAGTGCTGGACCTCAGGGTACCCTCTCTTCAGCTCACAATCTGGGGGTGGTCAGGCCACCTGCTCTGGTCTCTCCTGTGGAGACACAAGGGTGACACTTTCCCATGTGGTCCCAAGGTTTCCTGTGCATAGGGTTGGAGGAAGACTGGGTCATCTCAGGTACTAGGGTGGAGGGGAAGTGACCTAACACCGACCTTGGGAGGGTGGGAGAGCAGAGGGCTTCCTTCTCCAACTCAGGGGGTTCCAAGGAAGGCCCCCACACCGCCGTAGGGGAGGGTAGAGTAGGAGGGTTCAACCCAGGGGAGGGGGATGCTGCAAGGCCCCTCTGCCGAGGCCGGTTCCACCTGCACCGCCCCACTTGATTTGTAGGAAAAAGTCCTTCAGGGGAGCGGAGGGGAGGGGGGGGGAGAGGAGGAGAGAAGAGGGGAGAGGAGGAGAGAGGAAGGGAGAGGCCCCCCGGCCGGAGGCCCGAGCTCCCGGGGAGGAAGGAGAGCCACCGGGGGTGGAGGACAAGGGTCGCCCAGGACGAAAGAGGCCCTCGAAACGGAAAAAGGAACCCAGCTGCCGGCGAGACCTTGGGTCCCCAGCTCACCTTGTGGGATCTGGGGGCCGCGGGGCCGCGGGACAGGGCCGAGCGCGCGGGCTCCTGGGTCCCGGCCACCGACCGGCGGGTCCAGGCGCCGCGCACTGTTGGGCATCTCCTGCCACCGCCGCGCGAGCCGGTCTGTACCGGGGGTCTGCGCCCAGCCTCGGACACCCAGCGAGGCATCTCCCACGCCCGGAGCGCCCGGCGTCCCCGCTCGCCCCCTCCTTCCGGCCTCCGGCAGCGGGGAGCCCGGGGTGCCCGCGCCCCAGCCCCGACCCCAGCCCGACGGCCCCGCGGGCCCCCACTCACCCCAGAGACATGGCGGCCTGGGCCGGGGCGGCGGAGCGGAGCGCGGGTCGCTGCTCCGGGCACACGGCTGGGGACGGCAGGCGGGGACCGGGTCGGGGCGGGTGGGGTCCGAGGCTGGGCCGCGCCCCAGCCCAGACTTTTCTCTCCCGGGAGGCCGGAGGAGGGGCCAGAAGGGGCGGCGGCGGCCCAGGTGCGTTAACCCCTTCGGCGCCACCGGCCCTCGGTCCCCGCCGCGCCCGGCCAGGCGGGAGCCACCCATTTCTCAGAGGCGGAACCCGAGGCTCCAGAGCTCGCGGAGCCCACCAAGGTCACCCGGTCCGACCGGGGTGGCCGAGCCGGACTTCATCCCGCGGTACGCGGTTCCCACTGCGGAGCCTGCCTGGGGTCGCCAGCCCATCTGGACGCGTGGGAACGGGACACCGTTCGTCTCCCGCTCACCCCAGCCGGGCCTGGAGGGGGCGGGTGGCGCCGAGGGCAGTTCTCTAGTCCTCTCGGCTTCTCCTGGGTGTGGGAGGCAGAGGCAGAGGCAGGCCGGGGTTCAGGACCCTCTCTGTACCCCCAGGCAGAGGCCCTCTCCACGTCTGGGCCCCTCCCTCCGCGGAGAGCTCCCTCTAATCTCCAAGGGATGGCCTGTCTGCCAGGCCCAACCTCCTTTTTTTTCATCCATCAACAAATATTTCACTCCAAACCCTTTTTGTTCCCAAGTCTTTATTAATCTGTTTGCGTGTGTGCCAGCCCCAGCTCCTCCTAGGGGGGCTGCAAGGACAGACTTGGAGGGGCATTGATGGGTGTTCCTGTCCAGGGGCCTTCCAGAGTCCTCTAACAGGTAAACACTGCCCCTGCCCTGCTGTCCCCTCACGTGTCTGTTCTAGTCCTGTTCCATGTTGAGGTCCCCGCTGAGCTTACAGTAGGACCTTAGAGAAGACCCATAGGGCCCAGCCAGTGTGGCTCAGTGGATTGAGCATTGTCTCATGGACTAGAGGTCCCAGTTTGATTCTGGTCAGGGCACATGCCCGGTTTCAAGCTCTGTCCCCAGTGGGGGGAGGCAGCCATGGGTGTTTCTCACATGGATGTTTCTATCGCTCTCTCTAAAAAAATCAATAAAAACACAGATTTTTAAAATGCCCATAGGATTGAAACGAAAGCATGTCACAGTCCAGTAAATAGCAGCTAGCATTCATCAAGCAGTTACAATATGCTAAACACAATTCTAGGCTGCTTTGGGACTGACTCACTTAATCTTAGCAGCATGTACTATTATTATCCCCTGGAGGGGAAAGCTCATTGGGCCAAGTCCCATAATTAATAAGAAAACCCAGGAGGCCTGCCTGGCTTTGGAGGCAGGCTCTGGGACCTTCTCTCAGGGACAGTGATGAGAGCTGGTCCCCAGACCTCTGAGGACCTTTCTTTTATTTATTTATTTTTAAATTGGTTTTAGAGAGAGAGGAAGGGAGAGGGAGAGAGATAGAAACATCGATGAGAGAGAACATCGACTGGCCGCCTCCTGCATGCCCCGCTCTGGGGATCGGGCCCACAGCCTGGGCATGTGCCCTGACCGGGAATCGAACAGGCGACCTCTTGGTGCAGGGTCAACACGCAACCACTGAGCCACACTGGCCGGGCTTCCCTGAGGGCCTTTTAGCCTTTGACTTAAGGCTCAGGTGCCCGTTAGAGAGGGTGGAAAACTCCAAGGTGCAGCGAATCTTTCCAGCTGTAAGCCCCATCGAGGAAGGTGAAGGGGTTCCAGGAAGAATTCCATGGGAGAACCCTGGAACCAGCTCCTTCCCAAGGACCAGAGAAGGAGCTGCCTGCCACTGAGGACCACTCGTAACCGTCCGCAGGGTACCAGGAGCCGCCCTGCACTGCCCAGGTTTCTGGGTTCTCTCCCTTTACCCTGTACCTGTGAGCTTGAGGGAGGGCTAGGGCCCGGCTTGGCTGAGAACAGCCCACCAGGCCTTAGTACTGACCTTTCACCTGGAAGCTGTGGGGTCTCCTCAGGTGCCTTTTGAGGGCCAGACACAGCTGTTCCCCGGGAAGGGGTTTTGAGCCCAGGTTTGGGGACCAGAAGCGAGGGCTCTGTACTTCCTGGTTGTCACAATGGGCTGGTGACTTATGCCCTTGAGACCGATTTCCTGTGAGCACTGGTTACATGAGATCCCTCATGTGAAGCACTCAGATCAGTGTGTCCTACATGGTGGCATCGTGACAGGCTGGCTGCTATTAATATTATTCTTGCTAATATTAACAACTCAACCCACAAGGCCCAGAGCCCACCCAGGGCTCAAAGAGGGGGAGCTGGGAAGCTGCCCGAGGCTGACTAGCAGTCCCACAGCAACCGCCTGGAGGGGCAGACCCCTCTGAGGAAGCTGCTGTCACCAAGAAAGCGGGGAGCCCTTGCTGGGAGGCTCAGTTAGTCAGGGCTCCGCTAGGGGAGCTGGTTGGGCCTGCGGCAGGAGTCCTGAGCTACAGTGGCCGTGGAGTAGGTGTCACGGGTCCTCTGTTCCCCTCGGGTGGAGGGTCTGCCCTGGAAAAGGAAACTCAGGGAGGCCTGATGTTGGAGAAGCCCAAGAAGCTCCCCCTCCCTCCCCTCTTCCCCACACCTCTTTGGTACTTTATTTTCCCTCCCCCCCCATCCCTATTCTCACAGTCACGTGTATCAGCGCCCACTCGTCCTCCAGAACCACTTGAAATCATCCAGACCCTGCTTTTTTTTAAAACAGGGAGAGGGAGAGAGAGAGCAAAACATTGATGTGAGAGAGAAACATCAGTGGGCAGCCTCCTGCACACCCCCTACTGAATCAAGCCTGCAACCCAGGCATGTGCCTGACCTGGAATCAAACCCAATGACTTCTCAGTGCATGGGATGACACTCTACCAACTGAGCCACACTGGCCAGGGCCAGACCTTGCTGGTTTGCTGCAATTACGGTGTGGCTCACCTGGGGCCAAAGACCTGCCTTGGCCTTGGATGAGGGGAGACGTCTGATGGGCCAGAGGTTGCCCTGAGTCCGCCCTTGAGTGGACGATGTGGGGCGGACTTGGGGCAGAGAGAACTGGAAGCTGGGTGTGAGGAGCCTTGGCACTTTGGAGAGAGCCTGCCATCTGCAGAGGCTGGTGCTGGGCAGTGCTGGGCAGTGGCAGTGGGTGGAGAGCTGTCCTGTTGTAGTCACTTCATTGCAGCTGTATGATGTGTGGGAGTCCATGTGTCTGTGAAGACCCAGGGGCAGCCTGCAGTGCTTCAAGCGCGGTGGGCTCACTGGCACTGCAGTGTCAGGAGCCATCGCTCTCCGGTGAAAAGCGTGTCCTTGAAGACGTGTGCCTAGCAACAAACACTGCACAGCCCCTCTGCCCGTGCCCGAGCAACCCAGCAGAGCAGGGCCCTGGCTCCAGAACACTCTCTCATTGGTCCAGGATACCCTGTGTAATGATCTGATTGGAGGGTGAGCCAGCCCTCGGTCATTATGTCCTTGAATTTGCCCAGAGAGACGCTTTCCTGCGGAGGACAGAGCGTGGGGCTCCCGGGTCACCTGGGCGGTGATGGGAGGTCTGTTCTGGGCTTCTTGGTAGGAGGTGTTAAGTGGGATAGAGTTGATTTCATCGTAATAGACCAGGTGGGGAGGAGGTGTGGCACCCCACACCTACCATTTTCATCTACCCCTGGTCCTCGGAGACCACCCATATCCACTGCAAAGAACCTGACCCATTCTGCAGGGCGCCCTGGGAGGGGCTGGCCAGGTATGGGGAGCGAGGGGAGGGAGCAGCACACAGAGGAGGAAGAGAAAAAGGCCAAGAAGGAGCCGGGGGTAGGGGGGAGAGCTCAGGGGTCAGGGAAGACAGGGTTTTTAAGGCAAAGACTGTCTGGTTTGGAGTCTGGGTGGTGCCCTCCCCCAGAGGCAGATTGGGTCAAAGAGAACCCCCATCACAGTGGGTGAGAGGCTGGGAGGAAGTTAAAACAGGCTCCTTTCGGTGTCCGTGTGTGAGCAACACAACAGACAACACGCTGTTTCCAGGGATCCCGCAGTGCTGGCCAAATCCTGATCCAGCCGAGACCGACCCAACAACCAAGAAGGTGACATTGCCCTACAGTAAGACGTTTCAAAATCCGAATTCCAGGGCCTGCCTGCGGAGAGTCTGATGGAACCTGGGAAATTGTATTTTTGCAGTTTTCCAGGCGATTCTGGTGCACAGGCAGGTTTGGGAAAGATGGCACCGAGCCCTCCAACTCCAGCTCTCTTGGTCAGCCGTGGGCAAGGGCCAGCAGAGGGCTGCTTCCTCCCGGGGGCCTGAGGAGCCAATGGGGGGGCAGCTCTGGAGGAAACTGGAGGCAGGGAGGGGGAGGGGGAGGGGGAGGGAGGACTTAATTTTCCTAGTGAAGGAAGTGGCAGTTGAGGAAGCCGAGGTGGGTTTAAGAGCTGGAAAAGAGTGGGAAAGGGTGGGATCTGAGGAAGCCAGAGAGGGGCGATGAGAAGCGTTAGGGCATTCCTGTGCACCCGGAGACCCAGGCCTGTGGCTGAGGCAGAGATGCCCAGGGCCCCTCTGGGTGTGAGTGACAGAAACCCAACTCAAAGTGCTCAGGCACAAGGAATTGGTTGGCCTGTATGATGGGAAACCCCTGTTCCTTGCTCTCTCTTATCCTCTCCCCACAGTGCACCCCCTGTGCAATCCACCTACCTCTTGCCTCTCTCCTATACCCACAGGCTTCTTCTATGAGAAACAGGAGAAGAGCAGGTTTGCAGATGGCCTCAGGTTTTGAGGACCCTGGAGGAAAAAGTTTTTGTTTTTTTTGTGTGTGTTTTTTTCCCCCTCCCAACCTCCTCCACATATAAAATTCCAGGAAAGCCCTGGCCAGTGTGGCTCAGTGGATTGAACATCATCCCATGGACTGAGAGGTCTCGGTTTGATAACCGGTCAGGGCACATGCCCAGGTTTTGGGCTCGATCCCCAGTAGGGGGCGTGCAGGAGACGGCCATGGATGTTTCTCTCTCACATCAATGTTTCTATCTCTCTCTCCCTAAAAAAAAAATCAATACAAACATATTTTTAAAAATTTCAGGGAAGAACTCTCATTGGTCTCATTTAGTCATGTGCCCAAACCTGGGCCAATGATCATGTCTAGGGGGATTGGGGTAGTGTGATTGGCCAGCCCTGAGTCATGTGCCCCCTGCTGTGGTTGTGTTATTGGTGGGAGTGCAGTTCT